GACTTCATTACTGAGCTAAAAGGGTGTCCAGGGGCCATACTCTCAGGGTTTCTCCAGTCTCTGTCAGACCAGTAAGTCTGGTGTTTTTTTGTGAGTTAGAATTTTGTTCTACATTTTTCCAACTCTGTCCAGAACCCTCTATTGTGACCCCTGTCAGAGCAGTCAGTGGTGGTAGCCGGGCACCATCTAGTTGTGCTGGACTCAGTCTGGTGGAGGCTGCAGCACTTATGGTTGGACAAAATAATTTTAATGATGGAACTCATCCTATTATGGTGGGTAATGTACAGATAAATGACCTCTCATTTACAAAGTTAGTGGGATTTCTGATTGAAGTTTGGGAGTTCTCGTATGTTAATGATTTCAAAGGGGCAGACACAGGCCCGTGCGACTGTGACACCACAGGAGCTCCATGCAGTTGTCCCTGCCAGCCGCTCTGTAGAGCACATGACCGGCCACTGCCTTCTGTCCTCCAGGTAAACAGACGCACCTGTCAACTTTGCAGGCTTTGTACCAACCACCATACTCGCCGAAAGATGTCCCGTCCTTCTGCTTGCCCTAAATTAAAACAAAGAATTTCAAATAAGTAATTATTTTTAATACAATTTGTCCAATTTTGAAAATCTCTCAAAATAATATAGTCTTACTTTGCATTCTTCTCTCTCTTCAGCATGCATCCAAATGGGTTTATTTTCATCTAGGAAAGAAAAATGACACCGTATAAAGGAAAATACAATAGAGCCCACAGAGAAGGACAGAATCTGCTACATCTCAGTGATTCCAGGGTTTGTTTTATGTTTTTGTACACCGTACAGCCTGAAAAGATGAGGTCTGCTTTGGATGACCAGGACAGGGTGAGATGCCGCTCACAGCTCACCGTGACCATGGGATGGAGAAGCACACTTTCCCCACCAGGGAGAAGCAACAGCTCACAGTCTGACAAAGGCCAGGATCCTATGAGGTAGTCTGTGTAATGCAGACTCCTAAAAAACACCTGGAAGTACTTAGAATTTTAACAAGCTAGCAATAAACAAAAAGTAGTAAGATGTAGGGGCAAGATACTGAAAAGATACAAATCAGTAATGAACACATATTGCTCATCCAAAGGCTCTAGACAAACCACAGGAAAACAAGCAGCATGCGTGACTACGCTACACTATGGTTTCCATTATAGAAGTCTACAGGCGCGAGAGGAAGCAGAGGCAAAAATGTCCCGCGTACACTGGGTGATGAAAGCACAGTGATTTTCAAGTTCCCTCTTCTGGTGTATGATCGAGGCTTCCTACAGTGAGGCTCCATCACAGACCATCACAGGCTCCCACAGTGAGGTTCCATCACAGACCATCACAGGCTCCATCACAGGCCCCCACAGTGAGGCTCCATCACAGACCATCACAGGCTCCATCACAGGCCCCCACAGTGAGGCTCCATCACAGACCATCACAGGCCCCCACAGTGAGGCTCCATCACAGACCATCACAGGCTCCCACAGTGAGGCTCCATCATA